TGGGTGTCTTGTTAATTATGATCTGAAAGAGACAAATCCATGTTACTGGCTCCAAAACAGCATTTCAGTGGAGCTTTTTACTACATTCTCCTTAAAGAACCAAGCTTACCTGCTGAATCTGAACTCCATAACCTTTATACTCCTCATCCCAAGATGTATTACGGTAAATGTCATCCACACGATCAATCAGCTCAATCTAAACATATCCAAAGCAAATTTGTAAGACATCAGCAAACAATTTTATACAGCCCTCTCAGATGACAGATTTTAAATGGATATGAAAGGTGATTCTCAACCAGGGGGGCATGGCCCACTAGGAGGCCTCAGCAAACTTTTAAGAGGGTCGCAACATTTAAAATAATTTTGCTAGTTACATTACCATTTAAAAGTCTGGGGTCGGAAATGTTTAATGTTTTTAAAAGAAGCCTCTTAATGATCTTACCAAGGCTGCATTTATTCAATCAAAAAACAGTAATATTCTGAAATATTACAAATTAAAATAACTTTTCTATTTTAATACATTTTATAATGTAATTTATTACTGTGATGTAAAAGCTGACTTTTAGCAGTCATTACTTCAGTCACATGATCATTCAGAAATCATTATTCATTATTATCAATCATTATTATCAATGTTGAAAACAGCTGCTTAATATTTTTGTGGAAAGTGTAATATGTTTTTCCCAGGATTCTTTGATGAACAAAGTTAAAAAGGACAGAATTCATTTGAAATAGAAATTCACTTTTGATCAATTTAATGCATCTTTGCTGAATAAAAATATGAATTTCTTTCCAAAAAAATCTAACAAACTTAAAACTTTTGAACAGTAATGTATATCAAGCTCTAAAATATTTCATCAGGTAACAATTGCTATTTGTAGAGTAAAACATTATTGTAAATCACTAATGGCTAAAAAATGTAAATTAATTGATGTAAAAGTGTAAACACTGAAGAACATTCAGTTATTGAAAAATCATGGAATAGTGGAATTTTATCAGTTGAATTATTTATAGTGATTTTATTGAACTATTTTAATATATTGCCACTCCTAGTTTCCATAAATAAAGTTTGAAAATGAGCAGCATTGTCATTACAGCAGAGAGGGGCTTTCAAATATTGTCTTTGACAATGGGGTCCATGGAGTCAAAAAGGTTGAGAACCACACTGTCCAATTGAACTGAATTTGACTTTACATCAGAAAGATTTTAACACTCAATTTATGCAGAAACTTTTTTGTTTGTGTCAGGAATAAGGCCATATCGAAACTGAAGGCTTTTTTACCAGGTAGTTGAGGGTGGTGCTCTCCTCCCTACGGCCCATGTGTCTGAAAAAGCGATAGTCGGCTACAAGCAGCAGAGGGCAGGTGTTCTTACTGTGGTCCAGCGTCTGCCTTCTCTCTCTTAGATGCCCTGTGGAAGAGACGCAGTTGAGAGAAAAAGAAAGTGAAAATAGACAAAGGGTGAGAAGACAAGAAACTTTACACATGGGTGACAAAGCAACTATATAAAGTGGCGTCTCACAGTACAGATTTGGCATCTCACATTACACTGTCTAGATTCGGCTCTGATGAGCAGAAGTGTTAGGTCACAAGATGTGTAATTAACTCAAAGACTTACTATCCTCCTCCTCTTCATCTTCATCTAGTGGGCTGGCTGCTCGCACACTTTCTGGAAGCATCTCACTGGCATCTGCACTGATGTAGCCGCACACTTTTGGAGCCGTCAGCCGGCTCACGTTCCTGATGTCTTCTGAACGATATACGAGCAGCCGATCGTCACGAGGGTTTTCGATAAACCTCCACAGTGGCTGAATGGATTATAAATCAATGTATTGTTTTTGTTGAGGGGCATAAACGAAATCAGATTTATGACGTTGTAATACCTCAATGTTGTATTCAGCTTCATCGGTAAGAATATGAGCAGTGAAGTCATTGTCACCAATATGTGCTTGTACTCTGGAATTCTCCTCTCCTAGGAATCAAGCGGGGAAAAAAATCAAGTTTGCTAGATTTTAAACATTTAAAAGTACTATAGATGTTAAAACACAGAGTTGCAGTTACCAATGACATGGCCTGTGAAGAAGTTTTCTCTCTGGACCTCGTACATCTCTTGAGCGCCATTCTCTCCTACCACCACGGCCTTGAAGTCATGAGTGAAGAGCTCTGTGTTGGTTGTCAGGTACAATCTGAAATGCCTGTGAAATATTTAGAAGAGTTTTTGAGCACTAATCTTGGCAGTGACTGGTACATGGGTGATGAGTATTCACCTCTGTAATGCAGTGAAACCGAGAAATCTTTCTGCGTGCGTTTGTGACTGGACGTCTCTCTTACAAACCGAATGCTGCTGAAGACTGGACAGCTGAAGAACATCAAAGTCCGACAGCAATGAGCTGAGCTGGTCTGAAATAGTCACAGGGAACAACTTTATACATGTCATTTAATGAGCACAAATATTTATTTTTAAAGTGAATTTACAAGTTTTAAGAGCAGTTTTTTTAAAGGAGGACTAGTGGCATCTGTCTCTTTTCTCCCTCCATTATTGCTCAGAACGAGTGTTCTCAACTATGGCCACAGAATAGAAAATAAAAAAGGTAATTGCAACTTTTTATCTCACAATTCTGACTTTATTTCTAGCAATTGCGAGTTTATATCTGACAATTCAGACCTTCTCAGAATTGCGAGTTTATAACACAATAACTTTATTTTTCACAATTGTGAGTACATATCCACCTTGCTATTCTTTTTTCTTAAAAATGCATATTTATTTGCAAACAATTTGCAATTGTGGCATTTTTTCTCAGAATTCTCTTTACATCTTGGAATCCTGACTTTTCTTTGAGTTGACACCTTTCAATTCTAACTTTTATTTGTCGGACTTCTACATTTCTCTTTTAAGGGGTTCTTAATTTATTTCAGTGGATGAAAGATCTGAAAATCCCAGAGGAGATTTTTACAGAACGCTTTGAGTGGGGTGGCAAAATAATTGTCACTCCCCTCTACTCATGCGGTGTTCCAGCATGTGTGTTGTTTTGTCACAGGCAACCATTGAGGCTTTGAGAATGAATGTGCATTTTCAATAAGCCCATCTGCTGTTTTTGTTCAGAACAATGCAAAAATCAACCCATATTTTGACACAACAAACACGCAGTTGTAAATGTGAACCAGTGGACTAATAGGAACCTAACAGCCTTCTAAAAAATCGAAACAATTAACAGTAAGAAGCTTCTATATTTTAAATGACTATAATTTAACCTAAAATTAATGTAAACTTTAATCATATAAAATTTTATTTCCCAACAACAAAATTGAGGCCAGTGACCTAGCCACAGTGGCTGGTGAGGTTAAGGTCAAGCCCTGTTTATATTGTTGTTTATAATATTGTTTATAATACCACTAATTATAAGCATATAACTAAAAGTATAGTATTTTGGTAAATTGCCATAGTGAACTCTTGTAGGAAAAATGCTCTTGCAGTTTAGTTTCTCCATAAACTGTTTGAGTAAAGTCATTAAATTCGAAAACAAAAACGACAAAATGACAAAAACATGAAGATTTAAAATACAGTAATGGATTTTTTTAAAAAGCGCACGATGGTTATCACGGCGTCACCAAAACACAATCTTTCAAATTAAATGTATCCATAATGTTTTCAAAGTAATCCCATTCACAATAACTCACCGTACTCGTCGTCTAGGGCATCCCTAATGGGTCTCCTTGAACATTCCGTCAAGAAAAAAGACGCCAGAAAGAAAACGATGCGTTTCATGGCGAGTACGTTAATGTACAATACAGTACTTCACACAGCAGCAGCATTTAATCCCATGGATTACCAATCTGCTTGAGATCAACATCTGGACATGGCCAAACCAATGTACACGATCACATCTGGCTGGATAAAACAAAGCCGCAAAGTATCAATTGAGTATCAAAGAACAAAAAACGCTCACTTCGAGACGCTCTCGTCCATGTTGCTTGATGTTAAAAAGAAAAACGATTTACTCAAACCCAAATCATGCCAACATCGAAGTGTAGTGAAATACCCGGAAGTATTTAATGTGGGATGGATGGATCAGATTCAACGCGCGCCAGGAAATCACTATAAACTTTATCTAGAGATCGTGTTGAATGCGTTTTGAGAAGACTGATTTTAAATTCACGAGTGACAGTACATGGGGTATTTCAAATGGGTTTTAGTCAGTGTATCCGCGGTATGAGTTACGTAAGAGGATAAACTCTCGGGTTGTGGTTCAAAATCTACTGAGCTGCCTATATAGACAGCATTTGCTCAGCGTCACAAGCGTGTGATCGCGTGTATAGGTAGAGAGCGCACTTGGGTTTGAGAACAGCCTCGGTCTCGTCCAGACTCTATTTTTAAATTCTTACCTCAAACACCATGAAATTCAGAACAGCGTCTAGACTCATTTGGAGGACAGTATATAAGCAGCCGTAAATCTTTTATTTAGGGAGATAATAATCACATACTTTATTATCATAAGTACTAATTATTTTCAAAGAAATGTTAACCATCTGTAATGATGGCGTCAAGAAGAAAAAAACACCCGAATTGTGGTGTAATGTTTGTATTTCCCTGTCATTATATCTGGTTTTATTTAAAGAACTAAAAAGTGGATGGCTTTTAATCCACGTCTATTAGTTGTTAGGTCGCCAATATGCTAGTGTACTCGTAAACGCTGACAATTTTATTCAGTTTTTCTTTTCCGGAAAATCGGCCAAAATACTGATGACTCATCCTGCACGTAACCATTTTAACCAATCACTAGCTTTCTAGAATAACACCATTTGATTAGACACTTCCGTAAAGTGATGTAAACAAAAATGCTACTGGCTAAAAAAAAATAAGGGAAGGAACTATATGTCCTATTTCAATAGGAAATACATCAATAAAAACCCAGACAAATGTATCACATTAACTCACAAAAAAAAAAAAATCACCAGGACAGACCTAGAGAAAACAATAAAACACATTTCAAGACAAAACTGTATGGTTTATAAAATGGTCATTTTAATTCAGGTTACATAGCTGTTATGTAGGGCTTGTACATTTTCACAAGGCTTTGGGGAGACTACAGTCAATGATTAGCAAAAACACAAGTGGTCCAAATAACTATTGACATCACTTGACAAATCAAACATCCTCTCAGCATGTGCATAAACCTGCAATGAAAAGTACTTAACCAAACTGTGGAACAAGTATGCAGTATTGGTTCCCATTCCAGTGTATATTGAAAAATGGGCATGCATGATATTTTTTCATCTTTTTTTTTCTTTATAGTCATCACAAGCCATCGCAAGGTAACACATTATAGTGAAAACCATAACCAGGCAGGAGTGTTTCGTGACCTTCATGATGAAGACATGATTCAAATGGTCCATGAAAAGTGCATACTTGGCTGAGCAAAGCTAGCTGACTTGGTACATCATACAACAGCCTTCCTGCTATCAATACTAAAGCACAGGCCCATTTTAAGCCAACACTATGATGGTCAACAAGACATTTATCTCATTCAAGTGTACGTTGATCTCCCTAGAGAGACATAAAATGGAGGTGATAGCAGGACAGGAAATAGCCATGCTTGAGGCAAAACACTTTGCATTTTGTGACCGACACTTCCAATGTTTCAGTTCACCAGAATATACACACTAGTCGCTTTGTCACAATTAAAGGACAATTGATTTTATGTGAGGCTAATACTTTTCTACAGCAGACACTGCACATATAGAAGTCCAAAGGACAAAAACATGAAACTGAGGAGTGTAAATGTTACTTTAACTTAATATTTACTTTCATTACCACCACAAGCCAGGTGGTGGAAAACTGAGCAAAAAAAAAAAAAAACAGACTGATTGGAATTCCCACACTCACAGCTCATTGGTAATGATCATGGGCTTACATGGCTAGAATAATCATAAGTGAAACAATAAGGAATGAAGAAGTGTAAAAAGTTGACTTTTTCCAGGATTATTTTTCTTTCATTTGTGGACTGATGTGGGTGTTTAGTTCTCTCCTCCGTCTCCTCCTTCACCTCCTTCACCCTCATCTGCAGCATTGTCAGAGGTCCATAACTAATAATAATAATAAAAAAAAAAACAGGATAAAAAGCTGTACTTGAATACTGAACATTTATATTTGGAATACTCAGTATAAATGAATGTAATATAACTTATCAAAAACACATTCCATAGTTTCAGATGATTATTTTTGGTTTTCTGTACGTCAGTATGACCTCCTTTGTAACTCACCGTGAGGTTGTCTCTAAGCAGCTGCATGATAAGTGTGCTGTCTTTGTACGAGTCTTCATTCAGTGTATCCAGCTCTGCAATGGCTTCATCAAAGGCCTGCAAGCACAAGGCCACAAGAAGTTGAAGTATGTGAAGAACCACAAAAGTCAAGCCTCTGGTATGCGAACCACGTGTCTGATGAAATTCAAAGCTTGAGGAAAAGCTAAAAATCCAGAAGGACAAGTGGGTAAAATTTCCATAGGAATTTCCCTGTGTTGAGCTAAAGGTCTAATTAAAGTTGAAGTGAGTATTTTCCACTACTACCAACACCTAAAAGAATGAAAAAAATGAGACCCAACCCTATCTGCTATTGTTTTGAGAAAAACCTGTAAAATCCCTGCTCAACAGCTTATTACAGGTAGTCCCTCCTCAAACTCAGATTACTGGTCAAGCTAAAAGCTGAAAGCTTTTTTTTTTAATTATAGACTTTAAAATTAAAATGATGTAAATTACTCACCCTCATATCTTTCAAACAAGATATTTTAATGAAACCTGAGAGGTCCCTGTTCCTCAAAAAGTTACAATCACTTTATAAAATTAACGGATTTAATTTAGGCTTTTGTGTTGTGTGCTCTATACAGTGCCCTCCATAAGTATTGCAACAGTAAAGACAAAATTGCTCTGTTTGCTGTGGAGTCAAGATATTTGCAAATATGATTCAAAGATGAATATGAGACAAAACTACAGAATGTCACATTTTATTATTAGCCGTTTCAACACTTACATGTTTTACCAAATAAAAAGGACAGCACTTTTAGAGTTCATCCCACTATTTGATGTGAGCCATAAGTATTGGGACAGTTGAACTTAAGGCAGATGTAAAAGATTAAAAGCTATTATTTTGTTGCAGAGCCCTTGCGTGCGATCACAGCAGTGAGTCTGCGACCCATAGACATCACCAGAATCTTGGTCTCATCCTTTGAAATGCTTTTCCCAGTCTTTAAGGCAGCCAATTCCAACTGTTGCTTGTTTTGGGGAGTTTCTGCCTTTAGTTTACTCTTCAGCTGGTGAAATCCATGTTCAGTCGGATTTAAATCTGGAGATTGATTTGGGCAATCCAAGACTTTACATTTTTTTTGCCTTGATAAACTCCTTGACTGAACTGGCAGGGTGTTTTGGGTCATTATCCTGATGCAATGTGAAGCACTTTCTGATGAGTCTGGTGACATTTTCTTGAATATTGGTAGCCAGGATCATTTGTACCCTTCCAAATTCATTCTGCTACTGTCATCATACATTAATTCATCATTAAAACTGAGAGGGCCTGTTCCAGAGACAGCCATGCATGCCCATGCCATGACACCACCTCCACCATGTTTTACAGACGAGGTTGTATGCTTCGCAGTTCCCTTTTTCTCCACACTGTTGCTTTCCCATCACTTAGAATAAGGTTAATCATTGTCTCATCTGTCCATAAAACTCGGTTCCAAAACTCTACTGGCTTTTGCAAACTCTAATCTTGCCTTTGTATTTTTGGTGCTGGTCAGATGTTTGCATCTTGCGGTGTAGCATCTGTAGTTCTATGTCAAAGTCTCCTGCGGACAGTAGATTGTCAGAGCGTCACCCCAGCTTTCTGGAGGTTGTTGGTGATTTTACAGACACGTATTTTAGGGTTCATTTTCACTGTCTGTCATCGACCACTGTTGTTTTTCTCAGCCGATCAGGTCGTTATTGGCTGCTGATGACTCCGGTGGTCTCCAAACTCTTGATTTCTCCATGCCCTTTGTTTTTGCTGTAGCTCTAATTGACTTCCTCTTTTCTTTTAGCATCCAAATTGCATGCTTATCTCTCAAAGTCAGCTCCCTCGTCTTCATCCTGGTTTGTGTGTATTGTCATCGAATGCAAGACTTAGAATGCAGAAGCAATGGATATAACTGATACGACACATTCCCTGCGTGCTTTATCTCTCAGTTCATTCACAGCATGATTAAAGTTTATCGGACAGAGGGGTTACAGATGTCTTGACTCCACAGCAAACAGAGCAATTTTGTCTTTACTGTTCCAATACTTATGGAGGGCACTGTATATGCGTGTCGATCAATGTTTAGATGTAAATAAAAGCCATAAATGAAATTTGTTCATCACATAAAGTGAAAGTATCTATTTACAGGACTTTAATTAAACCACATGATTCATATGGATTAATTTAATGATGCTTTTACGACCTTTTTGGATCTTCTAAGTTTTGGTTACCTGGACTTTTAATGTGGGGACAGCAATCTCTACGGTTTCATTAAAAGTATCTTAATTTGTGTTTCCAAGACTAACTAGTGCTGGGCGGTATGACCAAAAATTTATATCACTGTATTTTCCAAAATTATACCGGTTTCACAGTATATGATGGTATTTTTTTTCATGCATGACCGGGTGTTAACCACATTTTCTACTGATTGAGAGAGGAAATACCGCAGTAGATTGACTTAAAAATTGTCATTTTAACTGAAGATATTGTTTGTCATTTAGTTTTCCTATAAAAAAAGTAAAAAAGTTAAAAAAAAAATACTGATAAGATAACAATACTACTACGAATTCTACTGCTAATAACGCACTAAGGATTAATGAGCTGCTGGATTCATGAATATTGATCACGTTGTGTGTGTTCGCTCGAACTGATTTGCTGAAATCAAAACAGGGATGATATTAGGTGAGTGTGTTATTTTGACAGCAAAATACAACAAAGAATATAGTTTCCATGTAGCGCGTCAATTCTGCATGGTATGTAAGACTCTCTTGCTCTCTTTCTCTTTGCCTGTGTGAGAAAAAGTTCGGGGACGCTCCATCTCGATCGGGAGCAATTAAATAATCGTAATGACACCAAACAATAGAGAATTTTTGGACAAAAAATGGCTTGCGACAAGCTGCGAATCGGGCCACACCCCTCGATCGTTCGGGGGTGCAAATCGGGATTAAAATCGGCCTTAAAATCCTCTAGTGTGTGGCCTGGCCAGCTTAATACATTCAGCTGTGCGCTCACCACAGTACAACAGTGAAAAGGGACCCCTCTCAAACAGTGTTGCGCCGCATTCTGAACGTTGTTTAAGTGACATACACCGGCATTGCAGTATAATAAAAATTCATAGCAAAAATAAAGACCGGTATTCGATATGAACTGGTATACTGCCCAGCACTAAGACTAACCAAAAAACTTATGGGTATGGAACGACATGATTTTCATTTTTGGGTGGACCTTTATCCCTTTAAAGCATGAGACACACAGTGTCAGAAATGTATACAGCAATTAAATCAATAAGTTAGGTAAATAGCAACAGAGTGGTATTGTCATCTAAAGACCTACTTGTTTGGCCAGAGCGCAGGCCTGCTCAGGAGAGTTGAGGATCTCATAGTAGAAGACAGAGAAGTTGAGAGCCAGTCCGAGACGGATGGGGTGTGTGGGCTGCATTTCCTTCTTACTGATGTCAAAAGCATCCTGGTAGGCACCTTGAGAGTTGGTTATCGTCTCTGTAGTGACAAAAAAAAAAAAAAAAGTTATATGACACAATATTAGTGATTGGTAAAATATTATCTTCCAGCAATGAGTCAGTGTTTTTTGTCTCAAAAACAAAACTCTAGGAATGTGGACTTCTTAATCCTTTTACTGGACTCCAAGGTCCCCTTTGTCCAAGACAATATTCAAAACTATTATATGTTGATATGTACATCTGGTTGTAATAAAAACAAACTCAAAAATATAATGTCAGTTTAATGTGTAAGTATGAATATGAACAGAATGGTATAAGCATGAAAATACATAAGCATTGTCAATCACAGAATGCCTTAAAGGTGACATATCATGAAAATCTGACTTTTCCAGGTTTTAAGTGCTATAATCAGGTCCCCGGTGCATCTACCAACCAAGGAAACGTGATAAAGATTAACCCAGTAACTTTGTTTTGGTAAGCCTTTTTTTGCAAGCATCTGAGAAAACGAGCGCGTCAGATTTCGCCCCCTTGGTGACGTGGCAAAGGGATCTCATTATTATTACATATTGTAAAAAGGGGCATAATATGTATCCTTTAACACAATATCTAAAAGCATAACAGGCACTCATTTTAAATCAGAGAACGTAAACCCTTAAGGTCTTTGACTAAAGGTCGAGATGGAGAAATATCCTCCAGCGTTAGATGCATGGAAATGTATCGTGAGGCATATTCTATCTGGTGCTCCTGTTCTGCCTGCCAGAAGAGGAATAAAGGCCCCAGAGGACGGTCTTCCAGAAGGACAAGCAGCTGACTCAAGGAGGGTGCAGAAAACACTCCAGGGCACCTAAAAACTCGGCACAGAACCCAGACTCATTCATCCTGAATTTGAAGTCCAAAGACCCAATTTGGCCCAGAGCAAAGCACAAGATGCAGCACAAACGAGGTCTCCCAAACACAGACCAAATTTGAGTAATTCACATCTGAGATGGAAACATTTGTGCTAAAATATGAGAAACAACATGCATATACAGCTCTTTTATTCATAGCAGAAATAACACTTACCCTTCCTGTCATCTCCTGAGGCAACCTCTGCAAGATATCTGTAGTAGTCACCCTTCATCTTTAAATAGAAGACTTTGCTCTCAGCATTTGTTGAGTTCTTGATCAAATATTCGCCCAGCAGTCCCTAAGGGTGGGAAGAGAGAGGAAGTGTAAGAATAGACAGATAAAAAGAGCTTGTTTATCTACCTTAAACAAAACTGCTACAACAGAAGCAATTAATTACGGTGGAAATGGCTGCAGTATTATGGCATTATAAACATTAAATATTAACTGAAAAAGTAAGCACAAAGTTTCTCACATTTTATACTAAGAACCCAAATTCTCCTCCACTGCAGTTTGAGGCTACTACACTGACTAATATTCAGCATCTTCCCCAGTTTACCACATTCTGGGCGTTGGTGGTTCAGTAGGGCTGTTAGACAAACCATGCAAACACAAATAAACACAACTGAAAAGCAGAGAACGGTGCAGACTTCCTGTGTGACAGCCCAGCCCTTTCAATGCTCAGTCTGTCATTTTAGATCTGCTGTGCCAACCGCGTACATTTCCCCAGTGTCAACGGAAAAAAAAAAGAAAGGAAAAGAGCAAAAATGAAGGAGGAAACTAAAAAGAGAAGAAATTAAAAAAAAAAAAAAAAAGAAGAGAAGAGACTGAGACATGAAAAATGACATCAGCGTATCTAATCTAAAGAGGGCAGTCATGGTACTCTGGCCCCACATGACCCTGTGACTGCACAGTCTGAGCAGCAGCCACATCACATGTGCTTCCTAATGCCCGATTTAACAGCACGTCTGAGCAATGCAACACACACCCCTCATGACAACACAGACAAGGATGTGTCAGAACATAAAAGCCACTGCCAGCATTGAGGCAATAAAAATGTTTACAATGTTCATACTGAAGAAACCAGAACGCTTTCTGGATTTCTTCCAGGCTTTTACCAAGCATAAAGCATGTTAAGTATGTGATCTGAAGAGCAACTGAATATTGATGGAATAAAGGTCACCTTGGGTGTTGTGAAACAGAAGAAAGGGAAACCACATGCAGACAATCTTGTGTAAACCAGAAACACTTAGAAGCAGCTACTGTTAAGCCTGTTGTAATAATCAATATATCGACTTATCGCGCAATATATGTACATGACCTCAATCATTTTTGATGACGCAATATATCGCCCATTATATTTACTTAAAAATTAATGTCACCATGTTTTGTACATTCCACTTGCGCCTGTGTCTTTTGCAACTTCTCGTACATAACGTGGTGTAGCCATGAGGTGCTAGTTCAAATTTAAAAAATGCTTAACTACAGAAAAGTTTCATCTGCAGATGTGGTCTTGTTTAGGGATCACAAAGGCGTGCATACGGACATCTGACTGCTAAGTAGTGATGGTGTTTTTCAGCAATAGTGTGCACCCTTAAATTACAGAGAAAAGAAGGTCAGGGAAAAATCTCCATACAAGTTCTTTGTGCATTTTTCTTTTTTCTTGTTACTTTGCACTTTTTGTTAGAAAATGTTTATTTACTATTTATTCGGGTTTTTTAAGGTATCTAATATTTTGATACTTAATTTCCGTGATTCTTAAAAATATTAAATAAATAAAAAAAGTTTGTTGTCATTTGGAAGTGTGTAGGCCTTCTTGCATTATTATGCTGTTACACTATGATTATATATTCAGTGGCATAAAATGGTCTTTAAAATGACAATAATATCGCTTATCGCAATTATTTCTGGGGCAATATATCGCACAACAAAAAGCTGTTATCGTGACAGGCCTAGCTACTGTATCCTGAACCTAGAGACCTAGAATTAGGGAGTCTCTTAAATGGCCTCATATTGCCTAAAGTTCAAGTTTCCTATTTATTACTATTAAAAAAATACATATTCAGAACAGCTGTTTTGCTTAAAAGTTGTGTAGAAACTGTGATACATTATTTCCAGGATTCTTTGAGGAATACAAAGTTCACAGCATTTATTTGAAATCGAAATTTTTAAAACATTATGAATGTCTTTACTGGCTCTTGAACAATTTACTGTATTCTTGCTAAATAGAAGTATAAATAAAGAAAACAGTAGTATATGTTTTATGCAGACTACCACATTCAGATATCGTGCCATGATGCTATCAGTTCCTTCCAGCAGTTAGGCATCAAAGGGAAAGTACTACAGGGACCCAAAAAAAAGCTTTATGTAACATTAGGGAGTCATTTTCAATCTCCTAATGAAAGTTGTTTAAACATCAGTGTTCACTGCCTGCTGTTAACAGCAACTAAAGTTGAAATGCTAAATGTCAGAAAAGCAAGAATGACATTTAACCCAACTTTACAAATTAATCAGTTTCACAGATAATCAGCACAGCTCTAATGTCTATGAAGCCAAGGATGACTATCCTCTGTGCCATCCAGTAATCCAGCTGGTACCGCCTCATGAAAAGGAACTGGAACAGGCTTTGATCATGAGAGCAGAACATTTATGCAATGATGACACTTTAGCCCAACTGAGGAAAAAAAAGAGATTGAGTCCCCTGCAAAGTGTAGTCTGAGAGGTTTTGATGTATCTTTACGAGCAATTTGTGGAAGTCTAACGGTAAAACTAGCTTTTAATCTGCACATGACTGTACAAAGTTGAATAACAGCAAACAATGTACATAAATGGAAAGTAAGTAGTCATTTCCTGAGGTTAAGTGCTTTCAAGGTCAAAATGGTGAAAGGTCATGTGCTTGTTATTTGTAGGGCTTGAACCAGCAAACTTCAGCATTTTAGCAACTACGCTATAAAACACACTAAAATAGAAAACAGCCCCTCTGTTTTGAATGTCTTTTTCAAGACAATTAGCAAAAAGCAATTATATTTTCATTATAGTTTTAGTAATTTAGTAAATAGCAATAAACTTAAATTTATTGCTGTTATTTGCAAAGACAACATTTCTAATTT